CTACTTCATCTATATTTGGTTGTTCATGTCTTGCTGTTGTAGGGTCTTTAGGTTTTACTGGTGTCATGTATTCTTTGTGGTATTACGTGTATTCTTACCTTTTCTGCTCATCTTTTCCTCTAATAGGTATGATTGGGGCTGTCAGTGATTCTGTTGAATCCAGTGAATCCAAGGCCCAGATGGTTGTTCCTTGTGGTACAGTCAGTGCCATGAGTCTAGTTACCCCATTGGTCACTCTGTGTTCCTGGAGATTGCTCAGTGATCCTAGGCTCTGCTTTGCTCCCTTGGAGTTTGCTGTCTTAGGCCTGCTCTAGCCTAGTTTGTCAGATCAGACCTGTTTCTCTAAACTTTGGTCTGGATCCACTTCTACAGAGGTTCCTGACTTGGAGTTGGTCCTGCAAAGTTCTCTGGCTCCTGTCTACTCTCTCAGAGTTCCCAGGTTCAGGTACTCTCAGACCTGCAGAGGACCTGGCTCAGACTTACTCCCTCTGAGGTCCCAGACTCATGCCTGGACCCACAGAGATCTCTGGTTCCTGCCTACTCTCTCGAAGGTCCCAGATTCATACCCAGATTGGCAGAGGTCCTGGTTCAGGCCTAGTTCCTCCAAGGTCCTAGACTCATGTCCAGGCCCACAGGAGTCCTGGCTTAGGTCTACTTTCTTGAAGGTCCCAGATTCATGTCCAGATCCTCAGTGATCTCTGGCTTACTCTCTCACTAGTTACTCCCCTGTACCTTTTTTGTGGAGTTTGCTGTCTCAGGTCTGCTCTGGACCCAGTCGCTGGCTCAATCCTCGTTGATCAATGTCCCAGGATTGGATTGGCTCTTGCTCCTGTGGAGCTTGATTTCTCAAGCCGAGTTTTGAGTTTTAAATGCTCAAGACAGACCCCACGCCTCTTTCTTCCTGCTTCCTGTTAATCTAGATACAGAGCTCTCAACTACCTCTCTAGCACCATGCTTCCTACCATGACACTAATGGACTAAACCTCTGAACTGTGTCAACCAGTCCTAATTTAAAGTTTTCCTTTATAAGAGTTGTTGTGGTCATGGTGTCTCTTCACAACAATAGAACACTGACTAAGACAGAAGCCAAGTCAGGAACTCAGGGAACCTGGAGGCAGGAACTGAAGGAGAGGTTATAAGGGAAATGTTTCTTCCAGGTTTGCTTTCCTTGGCTTACTCAGCCTGCTTTATTTTCCTTTCTTTCTTTCTTTCTTTCTTTCTTTCTTTCTTTCTTTCTTTCTTTCTTTCTTTCTTTCTTTTAAAGGATTTTTAAATGCATTTTATGTATATGAGTACTCTATCTGCATGTATGTCTGCACACTAGAAGAGAGAATCCAACCCCATTATAGATGGTTGTAAGCCACCATTTGGGTGCTGGGAGTTGAACTAAGGACTTCTGTGGAACTCAGTGCTCTTAACCATTTCTCCAGCCCCTTCAGCCTGCTTTTTTGTAGAACCCAGAACTGTCTGCCCAGAAGTGGCTCCAGCCACAGTGGGTTGCACTCTCCTCTGTCAATCAAGAAATTGTTCCAGAGACTTGCTCACAGGCCAGTCTGATGGAGACAATTTCTGGCTGAGGTTTCCTTGTCTCAGATGACTCTACCTGATGTTCAGTTGGCAAAACCAACCAGCACAGAGATCTGACATTTTGTCACTTCTCCACTATTGTCTGCTGAGCCTTTAATCTTTATGCTGCCAGTTGCTCTCCCAGCAGCTCTTGGGCTTGTTTGTGTGTGAGAACCATGTGGAGATTTTTTCACATTCCTTAAAGGGCCTGGAGAGATGGCTCATCAGTTAAGAGCACTTACTGATCTTCCAGCGGACCCAAGTTCAGTTATCAGTGCCCACAGGGTAGCTCACCACTATCTGTAACTCCAGTTCTAGGGATCAGAGCTCTCTTCTGACCTCCTTAGATGCCAGGCAAATGTGGTGCACATACATATGAAAAAGGACACTTAAAAGAAATTCCACACTAGCTCAGAATTGAGAAATAGATGGTTATTTATTTAGGGGTAGACTCACAAATTAGAATCCTCTGCTTGAATGGATAAGAAATCAAAATCAGCAACCGGAACAGAGAGGCCAAAAAAGAGGCCAAATTCAAGCTCTACATCAGTATATATAGGATAAGAGGCCACGCTCCCAGTGGGTGGGAAACCACTGGCTGTAAGACTTCCTATAGCATACATGCATACATACATACAGATGTGGTACATATACATATATACACATGACACACATACATATACATGTGGTACACATATATATTACACACGTGGCATACATACACACATGTGCTACATATATACATACACACATATATGGTGCATGCACCTACACATACATGGGGTACACATACACATGGTGCACATATATACATACACATGTGGCATACATACATACATACACACAAGCAGAATACTCACATAAAAATAAGCCTAGCTTTTAAATAACGAAAATCAATTCTGATTTTAAAATTGTATTTATTTTATGTGAATGAGCGTTTGCCTGTGTGTATGTCTATGCCTGTGGAGGTCAGAAGAGGGCATGGAATCCCATGGAACTAGAGTTACAGCCACCATGTGGGTGCTGGGAACCAAACTTAGGTCCTCTGGAAGAGTGATCAGATCTCTTCACAGCTGAGCTGTCTCTCCAACTCCAAAAAAAAATGTTAAGAAACACTACATCATGTAGGCCTAGACTTAACAGCCCTGCATGCGATTGTGTGGGGCTTATTTGGGAAGGAAAGCTAATGTAGCTCTGACTGACCTGGAACTAAATATGTAGCTGAGGCTGGCCATGAACCTGATCCTCCAGTCTCAGTTTCCTGAGTGCTAGGCATGTAACATGAGGGGTGGCTTGTTGGGGTTTCTGTCCCGCCAGGTACCCCACAACCGGCAAGTTCCACAGAAAATCACACAGAGTCTACATTAGATTATAAACTGATTGGCCCATTAGGTCAGGCTAGTTATTAGGTCTTATAACTTATGCTACTCCATTATCCTTATCTATGTTAGCCACACGGCTCAGTACCTTTCTCAACTGGACAGGTTACATCCTGTCTCTTTGGTGGCCTGTGCAGGAATTGTGGAGGGAGCTTCCTGCTTCCCAGAATTCTCCTATTCTCATTGCATCACCTCTACTTCCTGTCTGGCTGACCTGCCTATACTTCTTGCATGGCCAATCAGCGTTTTATTAAAATACATGATTGACAGAATACAGATAGTTCTCCCGCACCAGAAGCAGCCTCACTAAGCACTGTCCTTCTGTTACATTGTTCACAAACTATAAATGGGGCTAGAGAGTCGGCTCAGCAGTTAAGAGCACTTTGTTGTGGAATATTATTTTAACAGTGTAAAGGTATGTTACGTTGGTTTATGCTGCATTTGTTTAACTATGTAAACATGTGTTGTTGTTTCACTTTGCCTGCCTGTTTTTAAAAGACAGATTCTTTCACTGGCAAGGAACATCTTACCAAGTAAGCTAGGCTGGCCAGGGAGCCCCAGGGATCTGCACAGCTTTCACTGTGCTGGGAGTACAAGCACACACCACTACACCTAGCTTTGTTTTAGAATGGTTTTTCAAGACAGAAACTATTTCACTCTCTCTTCATGTCTATATGAAGAAACTATATATAGTTTCTCTGTGTGGCCCTGGCTGTTCTGGAACTCTCTCTGTAGACCAAGCTGGCCTTGAACTCAGAGATCCACTTGCCTCTTCTTCCCGAGTGCTTAAAGGCAAGCACCACCATCATCCAGTCACACCTAGGGTTTTAAAGTGGGTTCTGGGGTTCAAACTCAGCACTTCACTGTCTGGGCTATCTCCTACTCCTCTTTTTTCCCTGTATTGTGTTTTGTTTGGAGACAGGGTCGTTTATAGCCCAGCCCTTGAATTCAGTATGTAGTCTGAAAGATCCTTTAATTCTTTTAAGAAATAAGATAATAACAAACTCAAGAGACTAGTGGAAACTCAGTGATTTTAAATATACAGTTCTGCAGAAAGGTACTCTGGCATAGAGGAAAGGCATAAATGGCCCCGGTACTGATTTGCTGCAAGACAGTGGTTTTTTAAAACCTTTCGAGAGACATTCCTGTTTTCTCTCCTATAGGCATATAGGACTTGCAATCCCCTAATTCTCCGATCTCACTGGCTTAGACCAAATCCTTATCCAATAAATAATTTGGAACTTGAGACTGGCCCCTTCTGATTGCTGACTTCCCTATTCTGATCTGGCTAAGTGACCCAGAAAACCACTGGTAACTTTCTGAAACAAAGAGGGGCTAGCACTAGCCAGGGAAGAGGAGCTTAGTGCTTCCCAAACTTCTCTGTCACTCCAACCAACTCTAGCTCACCTCATACTGAGAGTGGAACATTACAATCTATTTCTCAGACTTTTTATCCTCCGACATTCCCCAAGAGCTGGGTCTACCCCTAATGTGTACCACTATGTCTTCCTAGGGAATTTTTCTTTACCATTTCAGATTATCAAGTGGTTTTAATAGGTGCACGACACAGGTTTACAGGCTAAGGTTGTTGTCCTCAGGCCCCAAGGAATCAAGGTGTGTTTTTACTCTAACATGAGGGGTCATTATCTTGTTTATGAGATTGCTGTGATTCTCACTCAGCCTTTCTCTTCCAGTGCCCTCTTCATTTTCTTCTGGGGTTGCTGCTATACTCTTCCAAAGGAAGCTGCTGTCACTCAGGGTACAAGGGAACCCCCAACCTCTACACAGGCTAGTTAGGACATCATCCATCCTCACTGGTCGTTTCCTGGTACGCCCTGTGTGGATGACGACAAACCAGCTCTGGTGGAGGAAGCCGATTCTGGTACACGTGGTTCCAGAAAGGAGCTGAGCTTGTGCGCACTAGGAAGGGGACCGAGTCATATCAGGCCACGCCTCCCTGGCTGTTGGTTGGTCTCTTCTCCCAGACAGAGGTGGGTGGTGACCAGCTCTTCCTACCCAAGGCCAAGGATAGGCCCCGCCCCGCCCCGGTTTAGTAGCTGCTCACACTGCTGAGCTCCAGGCATGGAGGGAGGCTTGCTGGGCCGCACCGTTTGCATTCTGACTGGTGCCTCCCGGGGCTTCGGCCGGGCTCTGGCCCCGCTGCTGGCCCGGCTGCTGTCGCCGGGTTCGGTGCTGCTCCTGAGCGCACGTAGTGAGTCGGCACTGCGGCCGCTGGAGGAGGAGCTGGGAACACAGCATCCAGGCCTGCGAGTGGTGCGGGCAGCCGCCGACCTCTGCACCGAGGCCGGCGTGCAGCAGCTGTTGTGCGCGGTGCGCGAGCTCCCCAGGCCCGAGGGGCTGCAGCGCCTGCTGCTCATCAACAATGCAGGTGATAACGCCGACCAGACCGACCAGGCTGGGGCTGCGGGCTCTCGCCGTTTGGGTAGTCCCTCAAAGTCCAGAGTCCAAGCGGAGACAGCCTGGTTGTCTAAAGTTCCTGTAGAACTTTCTTGAACGCCTGGAGCAGTGCCTCCTGGTGGGAGCGTGAGTCAAGACATCAGGTCTCTAAACAGATCGTCTGCTTTTCTGAAGAGCACTCAGACAGGTGTATTCTTAGCTTGCCTTAGGGGTGTCTGCAGAGCTGGGGTAGGTGGGTAAAATAGATATGAGGAAAGACTGTGAAAGACTGAGAACAAAGCCCCCGCTGCTGTGTCAATTATTTGGACCTGTTTTCTCAGGTACTCTTGGAGATGTTTCCAAAGGCTTCTTGAACGTGACTGACCCAGCTGAGGTGAACACTTACTGGACTCTGAACCTGACCTCCATGCTCTGCTTGACCTCGGGCACTCTGAATGCCTTCCCGGATAGCCCTGGCCTCAGCAAGACGGTGGTTAACATCTCCTCTCTGTGTGCCCTGCAGCCCTATAAGGGCTGGGCGCTGTACTGCGCCGGGAAGGCTGCCAGAGACATGTTGTACCAGGTCCTCGCTGCTGAGGAACCTGGCGTGAGGGTGCTAAGCTATGCTCCAGGTAGGTGGGTGGTACTGCCCTTGATGCCTCCCGACCTGGCTGGTACCTCTCTGGGGGCTGGGCAAGGTGGGGAGCCTGGTCTGTACTCCTAGGAAAGAATCCAAAGAATATATTGCACCCCTCAGTCATGACTCCTCATCTTGCATGGAAACTACAGGCTCCAGGAAGTTAGAGTGGTCAGGGGCAGAGGAACTCAGCGTTAGGAGTTGCCTGGCTAGCAGGTGGAACAGAACACCCATACACATAAACATATATAAATTAAAGTTAAGAAACAAAACATTACCTTTAGATGTTTAGCTGTCTGCTTCTCTCTCTCGAGGGCCACATATTATTTCTCCATGTTTCCCCAACACCTAGCAAAGCTTCATGGAGACCGGCTGCAATAAATGCTCAAAGACAAGCAGGCAGGCACTGAACTATGCTGGAATACTGAATGGGGTGGGAAAGAGGGACTGGGCGTCATATCTCCTGTAACTGAAGTCACAAATGGTTGTGATCCACTATGTTGGTACTGAGATTCAGATCCTGGTTATCTGCAAGATCAGCAAGTGCTCTTCACAGGGAGCCATCTCTCTCTCTCTGATCCCCTACATGTGGCTTTTTGCTGGGGATCTGAACTTAGGTCCCAGTGCATCTACAGCAAGAACTTTGCAGCCAGATGAATTTATCAGAGAGTTAAAGGAGGTGTTAAAAGAAAGGAGAAAAGCAAAGTTATGGCATGGACCTGCTTGAGACCATGCTGGACATCTCACATGGTCCCTGGTTGAACGTAGGAGGAATAGGGAACCTACAAGGTCCGTGTGTGCACGGATGCAATTAGGAAAGTTGGGAAGAGGTGTTACATGGACCAGAGAGGATGATCTTGATTTTAAACCACGCTTCATAGACTGTAGCTTTGAGTCCAAAACTCAGTGATAATGTGAGCTGGGCATGGTGGCCCTCACCTATAATCCCAGTACTGGAGATGCTAAGGCAGGAGGAGCCTGAATTTCAAGAGAGAAATCCATAATGGAGCCTCAGGCCACACCTGCCTGGGCTGCACCTCCACACAGTGGGGATCTACAACCTCTGTCCTTCTCTTGTACTTTCTGTCCTCTAGGTCCCCTGGACACAGACATGCAGCAGTTGGCTCGAGAATCCTCCAAGTACCCAGAGATAAGGAACGGACTGCAGAAGCTGAAGTCGAATGGGGCGCTGGTGGATTGTGGGACATCAGCCCAGAAACTGCTGAGCTTGCTGCAAAAGGACACCTTCCAGTCCGGAGCCCACATAGATTTCTATGACAGTTAAGTCCGTGTCCTGCCACAGTGCCCTCCCCAGCCCTGCCTAACACAAACGTAAGCCCTCAGACCCAGCCAGCAGGGCGTGACTGGCATCACCAGTCAGCAGAAGGCTTCTGCAGGGGCTTGAGAGAGAGAGAGTTGTTGGGTACTGGTATCCCCAGAAAGAGAACTTTGGAGCTGGGAAGAGGAGGAGAAGCTGAGACACTGGAGAAAGGAGGCTGAGTGTCTCGTCTGTGGGGTGAAGAGGGTGTGCCCTGATGCAGAAAGAGGACCGAGGGCATCACGGCGATGGTCCTTGAACTTCCCATCTTTGTTCTGCTGCCGTCTTCCTCTGACACCCACTGTTTCTCCCCCGACTCTGGTCCAAATTCATAGTTGTAAGAAGGCAGGAGCAGTAGAGTCCATGTTGCCCTTCGTGGATGCCTGCTGACCTCTTCTGGAGAGTGCAGGAGTGATGCCTCAGTTCCTTAGCTAGGGTGTTCTGAGAAGGTCACTGCTTGCTCTTCCCAGAGCATTGCCAGGCAGCTCTCTGCGTCCTTTCAGTGAGGCCCACATAGTGGTTATTATAGCTCCAAAGTCATTAAGGTAGAAATACCAGGACGCCTGCGCCTTTGTCATGTGTCTGTCCACACTGACCCACCTTTCCTGCCATTTTCTTGAGGGTTCTACAGCTAGGCAGTGAGTATCCATCCTCAGCGCCCAATGCACAGCAGACAGCCCTCACCAGTGAGGGTTTCACCCCTTGCCAACCCGGAAGCGCTGTAAATAGGCCCAGGCTCCTGCGGTGGCCTCTAGCCCACCCTTGCACAAGGAGCTGACAGTTCCCAGTCATCCAAAACAACACACAAACACACTCAGCCTGGCATCCGCTTGTGTTCAAAGAATCCTCTGGTTCTACTTATGCCCAGCAGAGGGCGCACTGGCGCTGTACAGTGTGAAAAGATGGGGCTTGCCCTTTCTGCAGGGCATGTCACAACTGTTGAGGATTCCCCAAGGTGGAAGGAGGTAATTTCTATCACCTTTCCCAGTGGAGTCTTTACCCTCTCTGGAATGGAAATGGCCTCTTCAGACTTCTGCTCTTCTTACCAGCTGGTAGCCCACAGCAAGTTGCTCTTGTGCCTCTGAAATGACTGTGTATTACGATGCACTTAAATAAAGCATTGTACCCATCCAAAAGGGTCATTGTGCATGGCCTACTGTTTGCAAATGTTTGATACTACATGCTCCACAGTTGAGAAAGCCCTTTTGCCTCTTTTATTTTTGATAGACCGGAAGTTCAGGAAGAAATACCACATGTCTCCACAAGGTGGCAAGACTTCCCCGTGTCTTCCAAGTACAGAGGCTTCAGGGTGTTCTAAGTGGTCTGTCTGTCCTCTAGACTCACGGGAACTCAGAGAATTGAGGAAGGGCAGAAAGGGATAAAGTCACTCTCCTCGACAGGCCCCAAAGCTTCCCTAGTGACCCACGACCATCTCTGCCCACAGGGATTGCCCCAGCATCAATTTCAGCCCTGGCTTAGGTGTCTCCAGAACATTCAGCACTGGGGCTTTGGTGCTGCCCTCCAGGGCCTAACCATCTGTCTCCTGGAGTTCTTAGCATGGCCTTAGCTAACCCACACAAGAGCACACGCAAGCGCACACAGAAATACATGCCTGCACATGCAGAGTCCAGCTGCGCGGGTGAACAGGGCTGCGGATTAGACAAAAGGCAAACAGGGTTTTCCTGTCTTTGTCGTCACTGAACTGGGTTGTTGTTGTCTCTGTTTAACAGTCTGAGCTGGGCCCGCAGCTGCCCCCTGAGGGACTAGGGAGGGAAATACTTCAGGCTTATCCCCACAGAGCTGTGGTATCTCTGCCTAGGAGTGGAACCAGCAAGGGTCAGCGTGGTCAGAAACCTCCCCCATGACTATGCCCACATAGTCATGGCTCAGGCCTACTCCCTGGGAGGTCCCAGATTCATGCCTAGACCTGCAGAGATTCTGTCTCAGGCCTAGTTCCTCTGAGGTCCTAGACTCAGGCCCAGACCCACAGGGGTCTTTGCTTAGGTCTACTCCATTGAAGGTTCCACATTCACATCAGGACCCTCAGCAGTCTCAGACTTTGGTTCACTCGCTCAGCAATTACTCCCTTGTACCTCTTATTTTTTTTAAATCATCATTTTTTTTCTTTTCTTTTGAGGGGCCTACAATGGAGTCTCGGAATGAGTAGGATTGAGGTACATGATGTGAAATTCTTAAAGAATTAATTTTAAAAAGTATTTAAAAATATAAGAAACAAAGCTGACTCAATTTTCCCCAGAAGCCCTAAACTCCCAACAGTTTCTCAGCTACGGCTGGGAACTTGGAAGTTCCACCTCCTTCTTTGTTGAAACTGACTTGATTTTATATAGGTTTGTGAAGGTAACCATAGCTGCTGTGAGTCATGTGTGTAAAAGCCATGCCATGTCCAGAGGCCAGCCTCCCAGAGTACTCCTTTTCTTCTTCCGGCCTGTCCATTCATGCTCCTGAGTTGCCTGGTTTGAGCTGGGCGATGGAAACATTTGCCTTACTTTACAACAACCAGAATCAAAGCAGCCAGGACTACGCACAGCTTGCTTTCATGTAAATATTTTAAATTATATCAAAGGCATTTCATAGTTTGCAGATATTGTCTCTGCTTTCTCAGATTCCTTCAGTGTAGCAGACATTTAATGACTGTCCATCAGATAAGAAGCATTGCACTATTTGGGTGGTGTTTCCAATGAAAAGGAGAATGAATCTTCTAACTTTGTGGAGTTTCTAAACTTACAGAAGAAAAAGATAGTATTTGAATATCAAAAAAGTTAAATTAAAACCACACAATTATTACTGGTGAATAAGAGAGGTATGCATGTCCTAAAATAAGGTTTGACCTAGTTTTGAAAGTCTTAGAAGGCTTCCGTAAAGAAATTATATTCAGCTTAAACAGATTATTGAATCTGTTGAGGGAAAAGGAGTAATCTCAAAGTCTGTAGATAGGAACAAATTTGGTGGACATCAAGAACTGATAAAGGACAGAAGGTTTAGCCTGGGATTCTAATGGCAGAACATGCAGCTACCCCTTCACAAAATGCTTATTTACTACTGAGTGTAAGCCTATTCAGCCCACATTAAGGGAAAGATAGAGATCCAAAAGAAAGTCATGACTGAGTCACCATCATTGGAATTGCTATTTCCCTCGAAACCATGCCAAATAAGGGAAGGGACAAGAAAGCAGGGTAGGAGATAATGTTGAAGGACTTGATCTACAATGTCCCTTTCTACAGTAGGCAAATGGATGGCCTATTAGGTATTAACTTCTCAGTTCTTCTGAGCTGAGTATCATGGTCTTTCGGCAGCCTCATTGCGTCTTAGGTCATCAAATGGAGGAAAGATCCCAGGCAAGGTAAGCCCTAAGCACTGTGCACAGCAGTCTTTGCACAGTTCCTTACTTTAGCTGAGACTGGCACAAGATGATAGAGGCCTAGAGATTCCAAAGCAGGAAAGCAGTGGTAGTGGTTGATACAATTCGCAGAACTAGGCTGAAGAGAGAAAGGAAGGAAAAGAAGGAACCTAAGAATTACGTACAGACTTGAAAAGTTAATGAAAGATTTCTGCTTTTTAAATAACAAAATAGCTGCCCATTCTGTTTTCCCATGTTCATAGTAAAGGAACACTGTAAACTGATTTGTACCTACCTTTATAATCACCTTTTGAGCTGGAGAGATGCCTCAATGGCTAAGAGCACTTTCAGCTCTTCGGGAAGACTTGAGGTTGGTTCCCAGCACTCGCATCTGTGGCTCATAAGTGCCTTTAACTCCTGCTCCATGGGATCAGACACTCTCATATGACCTCTGTGGGTACCTACACGCATGTGCCATACACTCACACAGACACATATATAAATAAAACATAAAAATACCTTTAAACAAAAATCTGCTTCTGAGGATGGAGGAGAGAAGGGGAAGTGGAGCAGACAAAAAGAATTAGAAAGAAGGGGTCCAGCTAAGGTGTTCAGGATGTGGAGAAGGGGGGATCCAGGAGACCCATGGCTGAAACAGCAGCAGAGCCTGGGAATGCGTGTGTTGCGTTTTCACCTTGAGTGAATGGACACTGACCAGTGTCACTACTCTCAGGTTTGGAGGAGAAAGTGAAGGCTTCCTTTTTGTATGTGAAATTTACTTCCTATGGAAAAAGTCACGTGTAAAAATGTCATGTTTTAAAAGAGCACTAAGCTAAAAGTAAGGTGAAGTCATCTGTCTGCACATGGCAATCAAACTCTCGGATGGACAAGAAATTTTAGGCAGATAATACAATGAGAAAAGCCTTTGAATGAATCTGCAAAATAAATCTTGCTCCCATATGTGTGGATACCATACTTTCTCAGCAGTTAGTAATGTATAAAATTCATCAGTTTCATTATTTTTTATCAGTATTTCCAAAATATTTTGATGAAATTATTATTTTCTACAGAATTCATGATATATATACATACATATAATGTAAATATATATACATATATATTCACTTTGGCAAACTTTAAATTTTACATTCTGTTATTTATAGGCAAGCCAATAAACAGTATCCTCTCTCCCAAAAGTAGCTATATATTTATTTGCTGTATAGTACATTATTTAGTATTTAAATGTTTCTTTCAGGAAACATATTTAGCTTTCTCAGCTTATGTATGTCTTGCAAGGAGGATGCACACATGTTTATAGCACCAATTGCTCAGCAACACAACACACTGAGAGGCATTAAGAAGTAGTACTCGTCTGATTTAAAGCCGACTTTTCCATAAGGGCAAAAAAAAAAAAAAGCAAAGGGAGGAAGAGGCCCCATTGAGATTTTTGTTTCTAATAGCACAACGCAAAAACCAACTCAAAGCATTCTAGAGAGCTCTTGAGGATGTCTGTTTTAGGAGGAACTTCGGGTCATTTTTCAGGTCCTAAGCAGTATCAGTGGAACCTGGTATTCCCAATTCTCTTGCAAACAACTGATTTTTCTGAATGCCTACTATGTTTTAGGATACCCACATTCACTTATTTGACACAATAAAACATTGCTTTCCCCCTCTCTTCCAAGTATTCTCAAAATATTTTAAAACCAAGTCATTTGTCTCCTTGCTCAGTATGCCACAGTAAGTTCAATGCACCTTTGTTAAACATTTCTAAGAGAATGTAAGGAGTGAGAAAATAAAAACACAGACCAGTATAAAAACTAGAGGTTTGGGACTCAAATGGCCCTAGGTGTAATTTCTTGGCCTGCATGACTCTGTAATATTAACTGACTTACCAACTTCCTTGTTCTCTGGTGTACAAAGTGAAAGAGGAGATTTTTAGGTAAAATGTGAAAAGTTGTACAAGGTACATAGCAAAATATTTTAAATTTCAAAATACTCAGCAAATTGGGCATCTCATCTTTAAAAGAATATGTCAATTTTACTTTTATACATTTTGAATATATAGGATATCAAATGTTATTAAAAGAACATATTGCTACATTTCTTCCTGAAAAATAAACCAACTGAAAATATATGTGTTAATTTGCATTCATTATAACTGTGAAGTTGGTTGGTGTATTTTCTAGCTTTTCATGACATCAAGTAGTCTGTCTGTAAACACAGTGATGCAAATAAAATATTTCACTGATTCTTCTTCAAACATAACTAATTTATGCTCCATTTATAGTTTCAGAATTAGTAGGAACCAAGTTTAAGCTTGAAATGTAAATTCTGCCTTTAATTGGATAGAAAGGGACACAGACATCTTTAGAGTACACGAAGTCAAACTTTTATTTGAAAGCTGAATTTCATGTGTAATGAAAATAGTTTTGAACCACACATATCCATAAGCATAGTACAAACACCATCTACAACACAAACACATGTGAATCAAGATCTACTGTGAACATTAATCTATGTAAGAACAGAAAAGCTAACCAGGTAAGCCTGCCCTCTGTACTTTTTGCCTCTTTGACGATGCAGCCAGTTGAAGACAAATCAAAGTAGCTCTGGCTCAGCCCTACTTATCTCGCTATAGGAACACTAGGATACATCTACTACCACAGACCACAGACCAGTTCTACTACAACCAATTTAAAGTTGTTACGAGAATTACGCCTTCATGGCATGTAAACATATTTAGGATTTCGATTGGCAAATATGTTTTAAATACTTAGAAAAGCAGCCAACATCTCTCCTTATTGTCCTCTATCTCTTCCATGAGTAGAAAATAGCATTAAGTCCATTGTGCTCTACAGTTTCTATAAACATGGGTACATCTAAAATATCAGATGCCTTTATACCAAGAGAAAAAATCTACTGATTTCACATCTTACAAATACGCATGCAGAATGAGTGGAAAACCCTTTTTTGTATAGCAAAGACCCTGCTTAGTTTTCTTCCGATTATTAATCTTCAATGGCATGTGCAAATCGTACTCCACACTTAACAGTAGATTTAGTTTATTTTTTGTAGATCTGTTTTCTATAAAAATATATTTATGTGCTTAGAGGGAGAAAATTGAGTTGGTTGTATGTGGGGGTGAGTTTTTGATACATAATTTGATTACAGGTTGGGTTATGAAGTTAAAAGGCATCTTAGATTTTATCATTCGTAAATTGTCTTAGTACAAAAGAACACCCTGTGACAGCGAACATTAGCACTTTGTAGCACAGTTTGAAGTAAAGCAGTTCAGCAACGTGATTCTATGTATACATAGTCAGTGCTGGAACCTGGAAGAGAACACGAATTTCCCTGACCCTCAAACAGCTCTCTCTGAACTTATCCCCATTCACAATCCTGGAGGTTATATACAATCACTTACATTAAAATCATACTGTCAGTAGACTACAGAAAGTTACTGCAAAACCAGTTAAGAACAAAGTTGTACATGTCATATTAGCAGCTGCCTTACAACTCGGGGGGGGGGGGAGAGCATTTCCCAAATAATTATTGCCCATTGGTAATGAGCATTGCACATCACCGAGTCTGCCACTCATTGTCTAAGAGAGAAAAAGAATTAAATCCACTTTAACCTACTGGATGTGTTTTCATTTGAGCATACTGAATAATCCAATTCTACAATTAAAATCAAAGGACTCCAAGGATCTTGTCTTGCTCTACTGAAGATGTACAACAGAATGAAGCCAAATGGTATTTAGAAGTTCACAGAGGCTAGCAAAAGGGGTTAGAGTACAATTTCATCTTTTTCAACAGTCATTTGGAACAAAAATGTAAGTATTTGCATCAACATTAGACTTATTAAATTTTTAATGAAACAGTTCTACATTGTTGGATATTATTTTCAACCCATATGACCCTTTCCAAACTACATTTTGACTGATGATAAGGAGGAGGCAGAATAACAGCATAATTAACTGTCGGGCACATTCTTTATTTTCTGTGAAGCTCAGTTCCACAGTCCCTCTGACTAAAAGGACACACAATGGTGTCTCCTCCAGCCATCTGTGTCTTAGCCATCAGATGGGACTGGGGATCAGTTCGCACAATGGATGTGTGGATCCTTACACACTCATGCAGGATAGAGCATAAAGATATCTACCCCCTTTCTTTTGCTATTTCCAGGAGAGTAGCCAAACATTGAGATTCACGATTTGAGAAAACAGGTTTTTCCTGCCTATGCATTCTAGAAGAGACATGAGGTTAAAAAGTATGTTTCATGTACATTACTGCATTGGTCATTTTTCCTATCCATTATTTTAACCCCAAAGCAACATAACGCATCATATCAATTAAACATGAAGACTGAATAGTAAGTATGTGCCAGTAATTACACAAAGTAAAGTTAAATCTCTGAACTGGTATCACAACATAGTTAATAATTTCATGGTGAGGTTAAAAGTTTCCATTACACAAGAGTGTTAGCATTCATTTTTTACTTATATGTATGCAGAGTTCTTCAAGGCATTTCTAAAACACTCTAAAACCTCTGTACCACTTTAGATGGACCGGTAGCCCACATGCCAGAAACTAAATTCCCTGACCCTGTACTAACTTTGACAAAATGAAAACATTAAAAATGATGATACCACCACAGATACATTTACAATATGATATAAACTAACAGGTATATAAGATTTTCTACTGTAAATAATTTTATTTGTAGGAGATTGGGGCAGGAATCCACTCCAAAACTTGTTTTGAAAAATATGAATGCATTTCCCTCCATCGTTATATGCTATTTTATTTTGAGAGCATGTGAAGGAGAGAAACATAAGAAGAGAATCCAATTCTTCATGTAAGCTTGAATCTGGAACCCCAGATTAGCTCCTGAAGGATGAAAACAGCATCCTACTATATACACTTCAGCTGTACAACCATGCCTATTAATGTTCTCTTTCTCACTTCAAAATAAAACATTATGTTTTAAACTGTGTAACTATTAATATAATATGTACAAGACATTCATAAAACATATCCAAGGGAACCAGTCTATAAACATAAAGGCTGAAAGCTGTGAACATACAAATAAAGATACAAAATACAATCATCAGCATCTTTCTCTTTTTAAAATAACCTCTGACGTTTTGCAGCTCCAGTTAGTTCAAGTTAAAAAATAAAAAAAGAAAGGAAGGAAGGAAGAAAAGAAGAAAGAAAGAAAGAGAGAAAGAAAGAAAGAGAGAAAGAAAGAGAGAAAGAAAGAAATAGAGAAAGAAAGATAGATAGATAGATAGATAGATAGATAGATAGATAGATAGATAGATAGACAGATGATAGATAGAAGGATGCAGAGTAACCACAATGACAGAAATTAAAGTCAATCATTCAGAAATTGAAAACATTGTTACTCTGCATAAAACTGCATAAAAATGGTAGCCTCTGGGCAAATAGTTAGAAAACCAATAAATACAAGTTGCATGATCATCTAAGATCTTTACTACTAAATTTTAAATAATAACTTCAGACTGTATAGATTCCATGAAGTGTTTAATAAGACATTCATATTCCTTTTTACATTTTAAATAACCAGCTTACTTGCTTACAATCTTTTAACCTGTAGTGAATCAAAGTCACTAAAACAGTTCTTAAAAACTAAATATAACTGTGCATCCAGAGGAACCCACACAGTTAGCAACATTAATGCACACACACTGAACAGGAGAACCAGGCAGACGTGGAATATGTGGAACAGGAACTTTGGATTCAGTCAAAGTGGATCTAAGTACAGGATTTGTTTTGTGTTCTGCATTTTGAGCACCCAAAAATAAAACCAAAAATGAAACACAGGCCTGAAGTGTTTGGCATCCAATTTTTTTTTCTTTTTGAAGGCAGTGCTATTTTTCTCAGCAAAACTGCAGAATGTCAGCCTCTGGACACGTGTTTCCACTCCTCTGTAAAAGACTTTGCTCCCCAGAAGAGACTGGGGAGGACTGTGCTAGCCAGCCGTGGTGCATGTGCTGTGCCTATGCCCGGAGTGGGAATGTGGCCGTCGAACTTCCATTGCTTTCAACAGACCCTTTCTCCTTAGCTCCGGTGTAGGCGCCAATAAAAGATCCATCTTCATTGAATATGGAGTGGTCTCCCTCTCCATATTCCACTAAGCTGTCAGCACTCTCTGTGGGCTGCATGTTCCTATTCAAGGACTGAAGGCTTCCTTTGAGAGGCTTTTCATCACTGTCACTAGAAAACAAAACAGAGCCATTCCCTGGAAGCTCAGATTCACAGGCACATACAGCAAGGCTCTTTCACAAGTGCTAACAGGTTCGATAATTTTCAACTTGTTCATATTAACACAAATGACAGGGAAATACAGCTGAAATGACATATCAATAAGTGGGTATTTTAAAAGCCATAACTAATTTTCTTTATTCTGAGTGACTGAGAAACACTTTTCTGCTTTTTTCACACTTCTGCTTCCCTTGTAGTTGAGGAGCTGCGTTGGGACATGCAGATACAACATGCTGACTCATATTGAGGCTATGTGCTCCCTGAACTCACACGCTAAACTGCTTTACCCTAGTAAGATGACAACGATGTGTGGGGTCACTGGAGATTAGCAGTCACAGAACAGTCCCCAGGAAAGGGATCTGCCCTAGGGAAAGCACCTCCAGGAAGCAGCTTTTTGCAGTTTCCAGAATAGAACAAGAGAGACGGGCATCCATAAGTGAGAGGGCTAACTCAGCACACACTCATCCTCTCCTGACTTGGATCTCACTGTCCAGTCCCAGGACGGTGAGAAACAGTCTGTTGCTTATAAGTCACCTAGTTATGCCATTAGTGATTGCTATTTAATCGTCTAAGGCAGAAGACAAATGTTACTTTCCTTGCTTTATGCACTCTTTTTGCTCTTGGTTTTGATCTTTTACCTCTCATTTTGGTCATATAAACTCCTTTGTCCTTCTCTTGTTTAGTATAACCAGCCAAATTTCGTTTCTTATAAAATTTTGGATTAAAATTGTTAAAGTACCCTGATTGAATTAGGTCACAGCCCTATCTACCCACTTACCTACCTAACTACCCACCTATCTGTCTGTCTGTCTTTCTGTCTATCTATTTAACACAGGGGGAGAGAGCGTGCACAGCAAAGTAGGAGAAGGACTTGTTAGGAAGACTAAGGATTTCAGCTCAAAGGGGGAAAAGGTAAGATAAGATAAAGGGTAAGTGTGAACAAAGTACTATATATACAGATGGAATTGTGAAATCATGATTTCTAAAAGAAAATATAAATCATTGTGACTACTATTAATATGCTATCTGATGTGTGTTTCACTCATTACAGGAAGCAAACCTGAAGTCTCAAAACATCTACAAAATTTTGCCCTTTCTCTATATATCTGATTCAAAAAGTTTTAAGTATTAGTTCCTAAGTGACTAGATGACAAGAACCTTCTGTGTTTGATACACTATAGGGAAAGGACCTTTTGGGTATCTGTGTTGGACATCAGCATAAATCAAGATATCTCAATGGTATGGTAACAGGCTTCAGAATTAGGGCACTGAGTTTCTAAAAGAAAAATTAAAAGATGTGGAATTGGTCTGGATGGAACCACACACACATAAGGAAGCAGATCTACTGTCAGCTAAAACTTCAGGCGAGTACACAGCTCTTGTCAAAAGATGGAAGACCATAAGCCGGAAGCCCATACCTGGCTTCATTTCACATGGGCATTGAGATAATACTCAATTATTATTCTAAGTTTCACATTTCAGACTTAATCAGGAAGAATATTCCAATCAGTACAACAGCACTGACCGTAACTTACAACTCTCCAATCTAGCATTCTTTTTCTTTTTATTCTCCTCTTTCCTTTCCTTCCTTCCCTTCCACTTTCTCTCTTCTTTCTTTCATTTTCTTCCTTACAGCCACCCCTGTCTTTCTCTCCTCTGATCTTCTTGACAAGAAATATAAAAGCTTAAAAATAATGCATCAAGGGCCCCACCCTGCGGAGCTCTCCCGAATTCCATCCCAGCCTTCATCCAGGCACACCTTCATCTCTTCCCCCCATCCCCCTGGGGTCACAAGATCTCCCCAGAGCTGCTCCCTTGCACACTGAGCCTGGGCTGTGGGCTCAGCCTGGCAGGGGCAGTTCCTGCGTTTTGAGAGCCTGCCTGAGCACAGGCAGGCCCTGTGTCGGCTCAGCCACATTCCTGGCCAGCAAGAGACAGTGAACTTCTAGCAGACATATATTGGAGGAGGGGTGAGTTTGCTCCTGGCCCGAGGGCTTCAGCTAGGAGGATTTCAGACTTTCCCCGCCCCCCTCAACTTTCTGGTCACCCTGCAGTGGTGGTTCCACCCTGCGGAGCTCTCCCGAATCCCATCCTAGCCTTCATCCAGGCACACCTTCCTCTCTTTCCCCCATGCCCCTGGGGTCACAAGATCTCCCCAGAGCAACTCCCTTGCGCGCTGGGCCTGGGCTGTGAGTGCAACCCGGCAGGAGGGAGTGCCTGTGTTTCAATAGACTGCCTGAGGAAAGGTAGATCTTCTGTCAGTGAAGTCCCTGACCAACAAGGGAACCTGACCTGGTACCAGAAGATCCAATATAGAGCATTTGAAGGAAGAGATGGGCAGACGCCAAGGCAAGAACTCCTCCAACAATCTAAAAAACAACATGAAATCATCAGATCCCAATGACCCTACAATAGAAGGACCTGAACCTCTTAATTCAGAAGAAGTGGAAAAAAGTGCCATTATGAAAGCAATAGAGTCCCTTAAACAGGATATGAATAACTCCCTTAAAGAACTGGATGAGAAATACAACAAAAAGATTGAAGAAAAGAGTAAAGAAATGGATGAGAAGTATAACAAAATGTTCGAAGAAATGAGTAAATCTGTGAATGATACACTGGGAAACCAAGAAAAAACAATCAAACAGGTAATAGAAACAGTTCAAGAATTGAAAACTGAAATGGAGGCAATGAAGAAAACACAAAATGAGGGTCGGCTGGATATGGAAAATCTAGGTAAACGAACAGAGACTACATAATCAAGCATAACCAATAGGATACAAAAGATGGAAGAACGAATCTCAGAGTCTGAAGATACCATAGAGAAAATAAATGCTCTGATCAAAGAAAACAGCAAATCCAACAAATTCTCATCACAAAACATTCAAGAAATTTGGGACACAATAAAAAAAAACCAAATCGAAGAATAATAGGAATTGAAGAAGGAGAAGAACTTCAGATCAAAGGCCCAGAAAATATATTCAACAAAATTATAGAAGAAAACTGTCCCAACCTAAAGAATGATATTTCTATGAAGGTTCAAGAAGCATAAAGAACACCGAATAGACTTAATCAAAAAAAAATCCCCTCTCCATATAATAATCAAAACACAAAACATACAGATTAAAGAAAGAATATTAAGAGCTGCAAAGGAAAAAGGTCAAGTAACTTATAAAGGTAAACCTATCAGACTTACACCGGACTTCTCTATGGAAATCATGAAAGCCAGAAGGTCGTGGATAGAGGTACTGCAGAAACTAAGAGACCATGGATGCAAACCCAGACTACTATACCCAGCAAAGCTATCATTCACTATCAATGGAGAAAACAAAATATTCCAGGATAAGAACAAATTTAAACAATTCGTAGCCACAAACCCAGCCTTACAGAAAGTAATAGAAGGAAAATCGCAACCCAAGGAATTCAACATTGCCAACACTGCCTACAATAACTCAGACATCTAGCGACCCTTCACGAGCTTAACTCAAAGAAGGGACACATACAAACTCTATTAAACAAAAAAACAAAAAATAATAATAACCGGAGTCAACAACCACTGGTCATTAATATCACTTAATATTAATGGACTCAATTCACCTATAAAAAGGCACAGACTAAGAGATTGGATACAAAAACAGGATCCAACATTCTGCTGTTTACAAGAAACACACCTCAACCACAAAGACAGACATCTACTCAGGGTAAAGGGTTGGGAAAAGGTTTTTCAAGCAAACGGACCTAAGAAACAAGCAGGTGTGGCCATTCTAATTTCCAACAAAATTGACTTCAAACTAAAATCAATCAGAAGAGATGGAGACAGACATTTTATACTTATAAAAGGAACAATTCATCAGGAGGAAGTCTCAATCCTGAATATCTATGCCCCTAATATAAAGCCTCCTACTTATGTAAAAGAAACACTCCTAGAACTCAAGGGAGTCATCAAACCACAGACACTAATAGTAGGAGACTTCAACACTCCTCTCTCACCAATGGACAGGTCAATCAGACAGAAACCTAACAGAGAAATAAGAGAATTATTGGAGGTATTGAATCAAATGGACTTAACAGACATCTATAGAACATTCCACCCAAATAGGAAAGAATATCCCTTCTTCTCTGCAGCTCATGGAACCTTCTCGAAAATTGACCACATACTCGGTAACAAAGCAAACTTCCACAGATATAAAAAAAATATTAGTAACCGTCTGTGTCTTGTCAGACCACCATGGATTAAAGTTAGAATTCAAGAACAGTGCTACCCCCAGGAAGCAAACAAACTCATGGAAGTTGAACAGTCAACTACTGAATTACCCCTGGGTCAAGGAAGAAATAAAGAAAGAAATTAAAGTCTTCCTTGAATTTAATGAAAACAAAGACACAACATACTCAAACCTATGGGACACTATGAAAGCAGTGCTAAGAGGAAAGTTCATAGCACTAAGTGCCCAATTAAAGAAAACGGAGAAAGCACACATTGGAGACTTAACAGCACACTTGAAAGCCCTAGAAAAAAAAAGAAGCTGATTCACCCAGGAGGTCTAGAAGACTGAAAATAATCAAACTGGGGGCTGAAATCAACAAAATAGAAACACAGAAAACAATCCAAAGAATCAATGAATCAAAAAGCTGGTTCTTGGAGAAAATCAACAAGATTTACAAACTCCTAGCCAAATTAAACAAACAGCAGAGAGAGAACACTCAAATTAATAAGATCAGAAATGAAAAGGGGGACATAACCACAGACATAGAGGAAATTCAGAGAATCATTAGATCTTACTACGAAAGTTTATATGCCACAAAGGTGGAAAATGTTAAAAAAATGGACATTTTTTAAGATAAGTACCATATACCAAAGTTGAACCAAGACCAGGTGAACAATCTAAATAGACCTGTCAGTCGTGAAGAATTAGAAGCTGTTATCAAAAATCTCCCTACCAAAAAAAGCCCAGGAC